GAGGAATTAAAGAACCTCATAATGAGGGTGAAAGAGGAGAGTGCAAAAAAGGGTCTGAAACTCAACATCAAAAAAACCAAGATCATGGCCACTGGTCCCATTACCTCCTGGCAAATAGAAGGGGAAGATATGGAGGCAGTGACAGATTTTACCTTCTTGGGCTCCATGATCACAGCAGATGGTGACAGCAGCCACGAAAATAAGTCGCCTGCTTCTTGGGAGGAAAGTGATGACAAACCTTGACAGCATCTTAAAAAGCAGAGACATCACCTTGCCAACAAAAGTCCGAATAGTCAAAGCTATGGTTTTTCCTGTCGTGATGTATGGAAGTGAGAGCTGGACCATAAAGAAAGCTGACCGCCGAAGAATTGATGCCTTTGAATTGTGGTGATGGAGGAGGCTCTTGAGACTCCCCTGGACTGCAAGGAGAACAAACCTATCCATTCTAAAGGAAATCAACCCTGAGTGTTCACTGGAAGGACAGATGCTGAAGCTGAGGCTCCAATACTTGGGCCATCTCATGAGAAGAGAAGACTCCCTGAAAAAGACCCTGATGTTGGGAAAATGTGAAGGCAAGAGGAGAAGGGGACAACAGAGGATGAGATGGCTGGATGGTGTCATCGAAGGGACCAACATTAATTTGACCCAACTCTGGGAGGCAGTGGAAGACAGGAGGGCCTGGCATGCTCTAGTCCATGGGGTCATGAAGAGTCGAACACGACTAAACAACAAAAATTACATGTACTTCTTCAGTAACTGAGTTCCGTAACAGCTCTACAGTCTAGCAAATTACCTCCAGGCATTGTGTGTATGCCAAGTGGGCTTTCATTAAACATCAGGACTCAGCCCAGAAATGAGTATTACTACATACTCTGAACACATGCCTCTTAGGCACAAGTAGCTCATGCCAGGGTATGCGGTGCCATTCTCAGAATGATGCAATCTGCCCATCAGCCCTGGCACCCTGAGCTCGTCCGCTTTGATATTGGCGGGGGAAGAGCAGCTCTTCTTTCTTTTATAAGAGCGAGACCGCTGGTGATTAAAAGAACAGCAATTAACGAAAGAAACTTCCTTCTCCCCAGGCTGGGGGTCATCCCAGGTGGTCCTTACTTAGCATTAAAGGAACAGTAACCCGGGCGCCCACACCATGGTCCAGCCGCCCGCTGCATCTTGTCTTTTGCCTCCGGTCGCAGTGGTGGCAAAAGGGAGCTAGGCCGATCATGCGTGCCTGGGCGGGTGCTCCAAACAGGCTGGAAAGGAGCGGGCTGCCCGGACCATTCGCTCGCGCCTCTTGCAGGGCTTCGCACGCAGGCGGGTGGGGGTGGGAAAGCGAGCCGGTCAGAGTCCCCCAATTATTCCGCGCCTAGCTGGCTGGCACGCTCCCCTCCTCAGCAGTTGCTGCTGCTCCTGCTTCAGCGGAGTTTTTTCCCCCGAGGGGAGGGTGCAGAGAGAAAAGCCCATGCTTCGCTGCTTTGCTTTGCTTTGCTTTGCTCAGGTAAGGGAGCACACTGCCTGCTGCCCTCTCTACGTGACAGACCCTGACCACCGGCTGTGGCCAATCAGAGAGGGCTCTCAGCTGCTGCTGCCGCTTGTTAGGTCGCCTTTCCTTGCCTCCTGGAGGGAAGAAGTGGAGGAAGGGACCAGCCACCAGCGGCTCCCTGGAGACCACTTTCCTCAGATGTTCTCGGGAGGGAGAGAAAGAAAAGAGGTTTGAGGCCAGTGGTGGGATTGAGCAGGCCAGCAAACGGTTCTCCAGAACTGATAATATATTAGGTATCCGGTGCGAACCTGCTGAATCCCACCACTGTGTTTTAATTATATTTTAAAAAGCAGTAGGTTAATACACAACAATGTGTCTCAGATGGTTGTTGCCTTCGAGAATACAATGTGTCTCAGAGTTTACAAATGTGCACTAGCATTTATATACCCTCCTAGTCACCTATCACCGACATTATCTACATTCCTCATTTGGCTAGTATTGTAGTCATTTAGTTGTTTCGGATTCTTTGTGACCCCATGGACCAGAGCACGCCAGGCCCTCCTATCTTCCATTGCCTCCTGGAGTTGTGTCAAACTCATTCTAGTAGCTTCGATGACACTGTCCAACCATCTCATCTTCTGTGGTCCCCTTCTCCTCTTGCCTTCACACTTTCCCAACATCAGGGTCTTTTCCAGGGAGTCTTCTCTTCTCATGAGATGGCCACTTTTCAAGCTGTTCTGTTGAAAAGGTGTCTGTTCCCTCCTTCCCTCCCTCTCTTCTTTCCTTTTTTAAAAAACCTACATCATCTTAGGTTAAAAGGAAAAAAGAAAGAAAAAATTCTGCCCCTAGTGGTAGGAACAGATTAACCGGCTTTGTGTTAGTTCCTATGGGAACTAATGATTCGAGTTACAAACCGCCCCTCGACCTAAGAACCAAAAACAGCCAGAACGGATTAACTGGTTTTCAATGCATTCCTATGGGAAATGCTGATTCGACTTACAAACTTTTCAACTTACAAACTTCCTTCCGGAACATAGTGAGTTTGTAAGTCGAGGGTTGACTGTATACAAGTACAATTTAAAAAAAGTTACTTCTGGTGGACAGTGCCATATATCTACACGCAATAAGCAAATAAATGTAGATGCAGCACTTACGTGAAATATTAACTGTATGTGGTTTAGGGCACTTTCCACCAAAACAACAGGACTATTTCTCCCTGGCGTCACAGCTTCCGGTGTCTACTGTTTATTTGCTATAGATTTAAATATGTGAATAGTCACAGACATCCAAAATAAAGAGCCAACCCAATCTTTTAATTCTGCTCCAGCGTTTTAAAAAGAACTGCCATTTACTCACACAAGAAATGTGTTAATACATGTGGTGATCCCCCTTGTGACCTTTATATCTTTGGGCTCCACAAAGGTAAATACGCCCTTTTCGCTGCCACCAGGTATTATCTTAATACCAATACCATTCCCACACACATAGGAGCTGATCATATAATTTAGGAATCAGGGGTTTTCAATTAAACATTCTTGTATTAATGAACAAAATCATCAGGAAAATCAAATATATAACAGAGTCAGGTGTTCACGTATAATAAATCATGTATTCAATCACTGGTATTTTTTATATTATGCTTATGTGTTCATTCCTGCTTGCTCAATATGTTTTACTCTTTCAATTTCCTTTCTTAACCCCTTCTTATCTATTCCTAAACCCTAGCACTCTTTCCACATCTTCTTGTCCCTACTTCTATCCCTATCATATTCCCACTCCCTTGTCTCCTCCAGCTGTCTGTCATTCTGACTCCGCCCCTCCTGCTCTATCCTGATTGACATACAGGAATGACATCATCTTTTGGGTTCTGCTGTACTACAAGAATTAAGGAAAACAAGAATAGGTTGAAATGGGCCAGATTATAGATGAGACAGCAAGAGAGAAGCCTAAACATGTTGCAAAGAGGGTAGAAGTCAGATATAGTAGAGGTCAGCTATACTGGCCAAATGAGGAATGTAGATAATGTCGGTGATAGGTGACTAGGAGGGTATATAAATGCTAGTGCACATTTGTAAACTCTGAGACACATTGTATTCTCGAAGGCAACAACCATCTGAGACACATAGTTTGTGTATTAACCAATGCTTTTTAAAATATAATTAAAACTAAATAATTCTTTTACCCCGCCTTGTAGGCAACTGGAAACTGGCCTAGCAAGGCGTTCGAACTGTTAATTTTTTGCAACAATAAGGGTGGGCGATCACTCATAACTTTTTATATCGTAATTTTTGTGTTTCTTCTGTGCCACCGCCTGATGAAAACTGAAAGGCAGTTTACCTGGGTGGCATTTTTTGTATGTGCTAAACGGCTTTAAGGCCATAGGGCCAGCGTAAGGTAAACCGGACAACGTTACAGCAAGTTGTCCAAATGAAGAACGAGTTGCTGCTGGCGATGGTAGCAATAATCCGGATTATCTCGCTGAACTTTCCCGCGCCGAATTGGGTGAAAGAGCGCAACGAGAGACGACGGCACAAGAGCCGCGCAGGCGCCTCGGCCTTTCCCCTCCCGCTCCTCTGATTGGCCAGTTCTTACTCCTCACGCGGGGCGCCGTTTGTTACGCCAGTCCCTTCGCGGGCGAGGGAGGGGGGAGCAAGGCGGGGCGCGCGCGCTGTCCCACGCGTCGACGTACTTGGGAGCACTAACCGCCGTCCCTCCCTCCCTTTTTGTTTATTTGTGTTTTTTTTTCCCCTTCGTGGATGGGCGTGAGCCTGTGAAGGGGTGGGACGAAGAGAATGGGGAAACGAGGGCAGTACATCAGGAGAGTCGGAACTCCGCCCCGCGCCGTCATTACCACCACCATCGCCAGCAGGAGCCTGTCACGGCCCTTGAGTGGCGCGAGCCGAAGAAGGGCGCGCGGCGTTGAACAATTCCCCCCTTTCTTCTTCTCTTCCTCCTCCCCTTCACGAGGGTCTCGCGAGGCGCAGCCGCGCCCCCTTTTTGTCGAAGAGCCATGTCAGTCTCCCCCGTGAAGAGGCCGAAGATGGAGTCGGCGCTGGAGCAGCTCAAGCAACACACCACCGTGGTGGCCGACACGGGGGACTTCCACGGTGAGGATGCCTCCCTTCTTGCCCGGCCGGGCTTTTCTCTGCCGCGCTGGGCTTCCTTTTTCTTTGCTGCCGACCGGGCCTCTGGCGGGTGCGGCGGCGGCTTCTGGCGGGTGAAGGAGGAAGGAGAAGCCGCAACGGGGAAAGTGCCCCGCGAAGGCCGGCCTTGCCGCCTCTTGGCTGGGCAGTCGCGCCAGGGTCCGCCGGGTCGGTAACTCCGAGGGCCAGCTCATCATCTGTCTGGCCGCCCTGTTTCTGCGAAGAGCCGGGAGGGAAAAGCCAGGCAGGCCCTTGTTGAAGCAGCGCCGGACCTCTTCTGCTCCCCACCTTGGGGTTGTTTTTTTTTTTAAAAGGTCATCAGGAAGACCAGGTTTGCGCTCCCCCGTTGATTCGCTCTTATCCTCTGGTTTTTCGCCCAAGGGCATCTTGCGGGGAGGTCTGGTGAGGCTTTTTCTCTCCGCCCGCCTGCCTGCCTTGTTTGATCAAGAGAAATTGTACGAGTTCAGGCAAAATCCAAGAATCGAAACAAGACAAAAACAGTTGTACGAGTTCAGTATTTACTGGCGTGACTAACTCGACTTGCAGAGTCAGAGCTAGGGATGCCCTACAAGTTAAATGCTCCCGAGTGCGTGATTGGGTTTCTGTTGATTCAGGTAAACTGGCTACACGTTTTAAACAGGGTTTCATGTGTGTTAGTTTCACTCTTGCCTTTTAGTGGTCAGTGTCACCGTTTGAGATACTGAAAGCAAGGAAACAGTATACTTAGTGCCTTGTTAAAAGAGGAAAGAGGGGGGACGAGATCTTCCGTTGAGTTTTACACTTAAGTTATGCAACTAGGTGGTCAGTGTCACCGTTTGAGATAGTGAAAGCAAGGAAACAGTATACGTAGTGTCTTGTTAAAAGAGAGAGGGGGGACGAGATCTTGAGTTGAGTTTTACACTTAAGTTATGCAACTAAAATGAAACAACTCTGTGTACATTCGTTAATAAAGATATGCAGTATATCAGGAAGGGCTTTGTCTGTAGTTAGCACTCTAATTATGAGGTTCTGTTTATCTTTGTTGAGAATCCAATGGACAACTAAAACTAGTGTTATGAAGAGTCTTTAGATTTATTTATTTTTAAAAAGCCTTATATCTAGATCTATTTATGAAAGTTTTACTGTTTTTTAAAAAATGTTTTTATCTTTTACTAATTATAGTCTGTTGCAAATTTCTCTGGAAATCCTGCTGAGCAGAAAGACAATAAACAAATGCTTTAAATCAACAGTAAATATTAAAATTAAAATGAAACCTGTTTTAAATGAAGCCAATATGAATGTATTTACACTTTGTTTGTTTACTCCCCCTTACTCTGAAAAATGGGAAGCAAATGAACATTTGAACAACTAGCTGAAAACCAAGATGGGATATGTAAAATGTCAAAAGTAGCTGAGAGGAGCTAAAAGGACTGCCCTTACTGTGACACAGTCTGTTTGTCACATTATGGCATTTTCTAAATACTTATGGTGGTCTGGGGAAGAAATGGCAGTTCTTTCACCGCTTGTCACTTACTGAGGTTGCAAAAAAGTACATGATGCTGTGGTAAAGAATGTTGTAAGTTAGTAGTATAAGTGCTGCTGCATTGTTGAGAATGTCACATATGCTCATGAAGATACTGCATTTCTGTGGCGACATTTGTGCAGCTTTGCAAAGTACAGTAATTTGACACGTGCTTCCTAAAGTAATTTGCATTTTATTTTATAATCTTGTTTTTCAGCTGCACATAGCTGCAGTTTCATCTTTTCTGTTTATTCTTAAATTTTCAAAATGGCTTCATGATTTTTGGATATTATGAAAAGAATTCTAATAGTATTTTCTCTTTTTCTGCATTAGACATTACATTACACTGTATGGATAGCAAGTTTGATTTTAATATATTGCATGATGCAACATATACTAATACATATACTAATGTGAACAGCACTAAAAAGTGGCCCTTTGAACACATTTCTTACAGAACTTGCAAAATTTTCCTTCCTTTTCCAAAAAAAAAAAAAAAACGTTCTGTCCCATGAATGGCTTCTAACTGCATAGTGGGAATATATGGGTACAAAGAAGAGGAGCATGTAATATGCTGTTCTGGATCTTTATCTGGCTAGCATAACAACTAATGTATGTTTAGCCTCAAATATTGAAAGCTTCTAATCAAACATTAATTCAACACCAAGAGAGGGAAGGAAGCACTATGCCAAAATACAAAGGAAAACCCCAGCAGCACCTGTCTATACAAACATTTTCATAGGACTTCTTGCTTTTAGGCACACACATATAGTATATGGTTTCAATCCATGAAGACTGGAGAAGTTAGAAACATGGGTGCATGATGCGTCTTCAGCAGCATGAAAACCTGAGGCTGTCCGTTGTCTTTTGTGTGGTGGATCTGAATTCTGGATGGACTTGAGTGTAAATGCAAAGAGGAAGTGGCACACAGTACTAAGATTGAGAAAGAAGTGTTGAAACAAATAGTACTTCCTCATTCCTAATATGTTCACACACTGAGCAGCTTGCTTAACCGGACTGCTTAACTGATGATCTTCATTAAATTTGATTCCTAGATACAGTATATTCCTATCCAAAAACTTAAAGGAACTCACCCTCAACCATTTTGCCTTTTCTTTGAATATTGATTACTAATTAAATCATGCTTAAACTAAGTCCATATGCAAAAATAGGCAATACTTTTATAGACCACTAAAAATAATCACCCATCATCTTGCTTAAACCAAGAATTATTCAGAATCCAGTTTTAGAATGGTATTACCAAATGGTTCTCAGTGAACTGTATATACAGTTTAAAAAGTATTGATTGATGGCTGTTTATTGCATTTGAAGGAAAATGTCAATTGAGATGCAATCGCTGAAAATATTTCACTTACCTTGAAAGCCCAATTAAGGCCTCTATAAGCTGCTTCAACCTGATGGCATGTAACACAATTGGATAAATTATATAAACATGAAAATGTTCTTGTTCTTTGTATAGCTGAACATATTTTTCTTAGTATTTTGTATCTCTTTAAACTCACCTTTTTAAAATGGCTAAAGCATTTTGGTTAATCTTGTCTCTCCACATTCAGAAGCATAAGATGGTAGCACTGTGGAATTGATGCTGTTTCTTATTGTTATTTTAAAATGAGGTAAACAGATGAATTCTCATCAATGTGCTTGTTTTCTGTAGTTTTTTATGGGCCATTTTTAAAAATATGATTTCTGCACCTGAAGTATTTCAATCAGTTTTACCATCTTATAAATTTTTTACCTCATGCTGTTGGCTTTAATAATAGTCGTCCTTCATCTTCTCTGCTTACTGGAGTTTTATGTTTATTATCTTTATCATGTTTGATTTGCCCTTTTCATTGAATCTACCCTTATATAAGTAATGTGTAGCCTGCAGAATTAACTTGTAAACCGCCCAAAGAGTGCTTTAAGAACTGTGGGCTGGTATATAAGCAGCACACTTTGCTTTATTCAATTCTTGTGTTGTTCAGCTCATCACTAATGTAGCTAGATTGCTAACTGGGGCTGGTCACAGGGATCACATAACCCCCTTGTTACAGCAGCTACACTGGCTGCTGATTCATTTCTGGACAGAATACAAAATGCTGGTTCTAACCTATAAAGCCCTAAACAACTTGGATTCAACGTGTCTTAAGGACTGTGGCTCCCTTTCTGAACCTGCGTGGCTGTTAAGATCATCAGGAGGGGCCTTTCTGTCAGTCCCATCACTTTCAGAGCACATTTGGTGGGAGAGAACCTTCTCTGTCACTGCTCCAAGACTATGGAACTCCCTCCCACAGGAGGCCAGGCTGGCCCTATATTTGCTGTCCTTCCACAAACAAAGAACTTTCTCTTCAGACAACCTTTCCCTCAGTGATTGGCTGCCTGAGTGTTGACATGGGGCCAAAACTCCAGAAGCTTAATGAGGCTTTGGCCTTAAGAAAACTTCTTGAGTCTGGTTGAATGTAAAGCTTGGCAAGAGCACTCTGTTTGAAAGACAAGCCTTGAAACTAAGGACACTAGTTATGCAGAGCCTCTTATCAGACTACTTCCATTCCTCCCACTTAAATAGCAAAGTAAGAGACTTAGAGACTTAGACACGGGGAGAAAATGACACGAGAGAGTTCTTAGTGGTTATAATATAGTACCGGTATATTAGATATGGCTACACATATATACATAGCAATATACATTTGGCATAACAACATTCAGAGCAATAATGACATAGAAGCAAATGACCACCAGACTTACTGCTGAGTGGCAAAGGTCTGTTCTGTCTCTGTTACATTTATACCCAGAACAACCTATCACATTTCACCATTAAAGCTGGTCTTGCTTAACAATCATGCATAACATCAGCTTGTTCCACCTGTATGCTGTTAGTCATTCCATTGTTTTTTTACTTTACATTCTTGACTCTGCACTTTCATTACAATATTAAAATTTAACTCCCTGTTCATGAAAAGAACAAAATTCTGACATTGAGTGGGTTTTTTATTGCTCTGAATGCATTTATGATAATACTTTTGTTTTAGTGTAACATTTGTTTGGTCCTTTTTAGTATTTGTCTACCCTGTTTCCCCGAAAATAATATTGTATCTTAATGATGCAATCCACTGTTGCATACTTGTTTTTAGCTTTAAATATTGTAAGCCGCCGTGGGTCCTTTTAAAGGAGAACGATGGGGTAAAAATATTTTAAACAAATAAAATAAAATATTGATATGTAATGGGAACTGGAGCCCAGTAACTTCTGAAGAGCTACATATTTCCCACTCATGCCTAAAACGGAGTGGGAATCCACTGGGAAATTTTATTTATGTCCTCTGCCACTCTATCGACACTCTCACACACTGCATGTCTTTGGCCAACCGAATATATGACTCTATCTTATTCTCGGAGAAACACAGTACTTAGCTTTCAATATGGCCTTTTATTGATGTCAGCCGCTTGGGTTGTTGTTAAAGGGAAAGGTGGGGTAAAATATTTTAAATAAATACATAAAGTAAATAAATGTTGTTGCCCTTTGACCTAAAATGAGATGGTAAATGTGTATCTAGGATGTATCGCTTCAGACTCCAATGGACCTGACATGACTGACTGGATCTTTTCATCAGTAGAGCATCATTGGGCAGTGCTCTTGTCAGGGAGGCTAATACGGCACTGATTTTGATATTGCCTTAGTTCCTGGTTAAAACTCTACACACACATACACAATTTTCCCAGACTTTTTGTCTAATCTGTTTCTTCTCCTCTGCTTGTGCTGCTTTCTCTAAACTTTCTATTCTAAACTTTCTAGTATATGGTGTGTATTCTTTAATTGTGTGCAGAACGTGTGTGTGTTTTTAAAGCTGCCCTAGAAATTTAATTGAAATAACAACTGTGGGTCCTGATGATGGCAATTCTAATTGTATTTTAATTGTATTTTAATTGTATTTTAATCATTTTATTGTATTGAATTTTAATTATTGTAAATAATTGTGTGCAGAACGTGTGTGTTTTTAAAGCTGCCCTAGAAATTTACAGTATTTAAAGGGTGGAGCAAATATCCCAAGAATAATGAGCTAACATATCAAAATTTCTAGATATTAGGAAGAAGAGTTCCACCCTTTATTCCTCTTTGATATCTAGTGTTGTGTCTGGAGGAGATTTGGTCACGAGGACTCTTATAGTTAGAAAATGTTGCAGCAAGTTTGCTGCCTAAGAGAAAACTAGGTTACTGTGCTTTTCAAGTTAGTTTAGCTTTCTGTCTCACTCTGCACAATAATTTGACAACTAAATGTGGCAACTGTTGCTATTTTTTCATTTCCATGCCTGGTTCAAGAAAAAAAAATCTGCTTAATGGTACTTGATGAGAATTTTTTGTTGGATTAGCTGTTAATTGTGTTGCACTGTTCCATTATATAGGTGTCAAAATTGTTGTCAAGGTGACTAACTCATTTTTATGGCTTATTTTGCTTCTATAGCTATTGAGGAATATAAGCCTCTTGATGCTACAACCAATCCTTCCCTGATATTAGCTGCAGCCCAGATGCCATCCTACCAGCAACTGGTGGAAGATGCTATAGCACATGGGAGGAAACTTGGTGGGTGAGTAAACCAATTAATATTGAGATTTCACTGGCCTGATTTCTGATTATGGTATCAATGCTAATTTTCCGCAGTTCCTGCTGCATTGATTGCTCATCAGGTATTAGTGTCAGCCTCCAAATGATGACTAACAAAAAGTCTAAGGTAAAGATTCAGACATGTTATAAAGAATTTGTGCCAGGTGTTCCCAATATGTTCTGCAACATAGAAACTAAACTCTAATTTCTTTAGATAATTTCTATATGATCTCTTATTTCTTTATTATTTTTCCACATTATTTATATAATTTTTGATTATCTGTCTCCAGGTCAGAAGATGATCAGGTTAGAAATGCTTGTGACAAGCTTTTTGTATTGTTTGGGGCAGAAATACTAAAGAGGATACCTGGTCGCGTGTCTACGGAAGTTGATGCAAGGTATGTGTCTTAGAATTAATGTATCATCCAGATAATCTATTTTTAGAAGTATTGCATTCTCTTTAATCAGGGGTCTCCAAACTTTTCAGTATACACAGCATGTATTTTACATGTTTTCGAGGGCCAAAGGGGGGGAAATGGGGGGGAAAGGAGGGAAAAAACAGTTTTATAATGAATGAATAAGTTTTATTTGGATCAACAAACTTATATACGACAGAATGATGGAACTGCTTGTTTAATTTCAAAATATTGCCGAACTGAGGTTTCAGGCTTGTGGAGCCAATTATTAGAATGGACTGAAGATGCTTATTGGATAAATTTGCTCGATAGTTGGGCTTGACATACTTCATTCTTGAAAAGGTCATCCAGACACCCTATACCTAGTAACTGCCACCAATTTTCCTGTTTCTTTGTGTGCTTTTTATGAAAGCCTGATCCCTTCATTTCAATCTCAGTCAATGGAAAGAGTAACAGGTAGGCTCTCTTCTAATGTTTTAAAACATTTTATGGCTGCTTAGTTGTCTGTTCCAGCCCAGTTCCGTATTCTGGCATACTGTCATAACACAGAATGTAATCTTCTATTGGTGGAGAACAGAAAATATGGAAGAGAAAATCAAGTGGCCTGGAAACACAGAATTGAACAACAAAGTTGCTATTCCTCCAGGTGCCCACTATTGTCACCTGGTAGGAAACAACCTCATATTATAGTAATTATGACTGAACACAATTGTCAGATTTGCTAGAAATGTTGAGAAGATTCTTCCCAGCAGCCTTCAGATGAGAATCTCCTTAATGTTCAGCAAAGATAGCACAGCTACTGAAAGATACAAATGATACATCAAGATGTGTGAGGGTGTTTTGTTCCTGCCCACAGGGAATTGACAAGCCTGTCTGCTTACTGTCTCAGAGTCAAAAAGTCAACTTTTTCCAAGAATGGGAGGTTTACAGATGCTGCTAGTAACAGCTACTAGGCAGTTTGCAGCCTGGTCACATGAACTTGGTGAAGAGCCTAAGAGCAGAAAGACTCCATGAACATGACAGCAGAGATAAGAGCAAGCTCTGGGCATTGAGGAGACACCTGTTTTCCCTCCGTCACCTCGGGTGGGCTTTCCAAGTTGACACTTTCATCCTCATGCATGCCCTCGTGTGGAAAAGAGAGATTGAGAAGGAGAGTTTTTGGTGCCCAGACCATTCTCATTTGCAGCCTGGAAAGTCACTTTTCCAGAGCGGAGTAGGAGGGGCATGGGCCACTGGAAGGCAGGGCCGAGCAGTGAGGGCAGATGACTCTCCTCACTTGGCCCGGGGGCAAAGTCCTCAGGCGGCAAGAAGCCCTGCCCACACCATGGGTTATATCACCTCAGCTCTCACCCACTCATGCAACACCTTGGTTCAGCTCAGCTCAGAGCCAGCTGGAGCTGCAGAGTCAGCTGCCAGCAAGCCGCGAGCCTTCAGAAGCTGGAACAAAGAGGCGAGCAAAGATGTTACTGGTGCCCCTGCTACAGCCTTGCCTGCCCGTCATTCCTCGCCGCCACCATGCGCTTGAGAAGGGAGAGTTGTTGCCAGGTGCTGTTAGGGAAGGCGGGGTGGGGTGGGAAAGGTCCTAGAGTCTGGACCAGGCCAGATAAAAAGGCAAAGCGGGTCAGATGTGGTCTGCGGGTTGTAGTTTGGAGACCCCTGTTCTATACAGTTAGAACTCCCATACCCTGGGATCTGTATCCATGGTTTCACTTATCTGCAGTCTGGAAATACTAAAAATATTAAATAAAAACAACAGAAATACATATTTATACATTGCAATTAACAGAACTGGCCACTAGAGGAAACCAGGTACTACTTTAGGTAATTGGCCACCATTTTGCCTAGTCTCTCACCAGCTTGAGGCAATTCCCTCTACCTCCCAAGCAGTATCGTCACTACCCACCCTTGGTTATTGTCCTTACAGATACAGAGAGAGCCCTGGGTCCAACAGATTATAGGATTTGCTGTTATCCAAGGTTTTTAGTAACCATGTGGGGGGCTTGGACCCAATCCCTCATGGATATACAGATCCTACTTTTTAAGTATATTCAATTGCTAGTCATCACTGAAGGCCTCTTTTGTTCTAGCAACGGTTCTTTAGACCTGTGCAAGGTCTCAATAATTACATCTTAATTCCAGAACCACCTCCAGTGGTTCCCCTTTCATTCTCTCTTTTCATGGCTTTTTGCTGTATGGTGAAGTGCTTGACCTTTAGAAAGACCTTTGAATAAGACACTCGGAAGCCTTGTCTTAAGCCATTTACTGTGTTGATGCCAGAGGATGTCCTGGCAATGGTGGCAACAGCTGTTGCTGCTGCAGTGCCATTAATAGCCCCAATCATCTTGTTTAGCTAGGTGATTGGCATAACTATTAGAGGAAATTTGCTCCAGGTGAAGAAGCTGCTGTAGATGTTATCCATTGCATGCTGAGTCATGCAACACAGTATGCAACAGTTACTGTCTATGGTGATTTTATAATTTGAGGCAGTTTGCCTCCAAATGTTGCACCATTTGTGTTATGGTGGGATACCTAGGGAAGAGGATTATAGCCAATGCTTTATTTGACTATTCTTATGCTATTGTAATTGATTTTGATTTTTTTTAAAATTGTATGTTGTATATTATATTTGCTTTCAGTTATTTGAAGGAAAGACAAGATGTAATTTTTAAACAATAAATAAAGCCAATATAGAAAAAAAGTTATGTGCACATTATGTTACCATTCATATACTTGTTGGGAAGCTGTAATTACTGATTAGGTCCCAAAGCCTATAGAACAGCAAGACAGATATATGCATGCCTTAAATGCCAACATACATAGGCATGAGACAAGTCTATGCATTTCTGTTGGTAAAATATAATGAAGTTGATCTCAGGTTCCCTGGATTGCTAACACAACAGGACTGGTTTTGCTAAGATCTTTTGTTGTAAAGTGTTGTTTATTGGGCAGAGTAAGTGCCAAAAATAAAAATCTGCCAAGGCACAATGACGCAGCAGTGTCTTTCTAACTAGTAATTGCATGTAGATTATCTTCATTACAGCTCCTTTTTCATAAAGAGTAGTGCTAACACAAGTACCATGTTTCCTGGAAAATAAGACAGGGTCTTATATTAAATTTTGCTCCAAAAACCACATTAGGGCTTATTTTCAGGGGATGTTTTCTTTTTTCATCAACAGCAACCTACGTTTATTCAAATATAGTCATGTCATCATCTTCTGGTTGCTGCACAATGGTGGAGGACAAGGTTTCATCACTTAACCGGGGCTTCTTTTGGGGGTAGGGCTTATATTACGAGCCTCCTGAAAAATGATACTAGGGCTTATTTTCAGATTAGGTCTTATTTTGGGGGAAACAGGGTAGTGTAAATTTAAAATAAAAACCTTATCTTTTAAAACTTTTCTTCCTTTGAAAGGTTGTCTTTCGACACAGAAGGCATGGTTAAGAGGGCCAGACACTTCATAGATCTTTATAAGGAAGCAGGAATTAGTAAAGATCGCATCCTTATCAAGTTGTCATCAACATGGGAAGGAATTCAGGCTGGCAAGTAAGTTTGTATCTAGTACACTGATGGAACACAATTATAAAATGCACAATTGATAATGGTTGATTAATATCAAAGTTGTCTGGGTAGGTCAGTGGATTGGGTACCTGACTGCAGAGACAGCAGTTGGAAGTTGGAATCCCTCTGTGCTTCCTGGGAGAACAGAGAGCCTGTGTAGCTTTGGGCGAGCTGCATAGTCCCAGAGTACCTCCCAGAGAAGGCACTGTAAAACCACATCTAGAAAATCCTTTAAAAATTGCCATAAGTCATTCTCTACTTGTATGTAGTTTGGAAACCTTATAGCTTGATTTCTGATATTAGCCATACTCAGTGTTTTTTATAGAATTGGAATTTTAACTGGAGTAGATATTGGGGGGAAAACATATATTTTAAAACCTAGTAATGTAGAGTTCTGTAACCAATCATGTGTTTTAAGTGCATTTTAGTGGAGAAAGTATGCCACCTCAGATGAATTTCTTTCTTTTTACAGGATTCTCGAAGAGCGTCATGGGATCCATTGCAACATGACTTTGCTGTTTTCCTTTGCTCAAGCTGTTGCTTGTGCAGAGGCGGGTGTCACCCTTATTTCTCCTTTTGTTGGCCGTATTCTGGATTGGCATGTCGCAAATACAGACAAAAAAGCCTATGAGCCATCAGAGGACCCAGGTAACTGAATATTTGTGGCTCAAAAATTACATTTTAACAAATCTAAGCAGAAAAGTTTAGTTATGTGAAATAAAGTTCTCAAACCAGAGTTGAATAGTTTTGCTTAACACTGTTTTTCTCCCCAATTGCCCATATTCATTTACATAGGTGTGAAAAGTGTAACTAAAATCTACCACTACTACAAAAAGTTTGGGTACAAAACTATTGTGATGGGAGCTTCATTTCGAAATACTGGAGAAATCAAAGCACTCACTGGTTGTGACTATCTGACCATTTCGCCCAAGCTTCTGGGAGAGCTCAGTAAAGATAACAGCAAGTTAACACCAGTCCTCAATGTCAAAGATGGTAAGCTTTATTTTGTTTTTGTGTACCATATGGGAATGATAGACTTGGATATTATTCTACTAAAAATAATTAAGTAGGGTAACAGGCTGACAGTGGTTCATGACTGCATTATTGTGCTTAATTTGAATTGGTATTTAAACAGTACTTTAATTGGTTTGCCCTCTTACTAACACAGTGGTCTGTGCAGCATTCTTGACTTGGTTGAATTTGACTTATAGTTAAATACTGCATGCTGAGGAAATATTTCAGATGAAAGAAGATTACAGGATTGAGGTGGGTTAGGATAGCTTAATCTGTAATTTACAATCTTTAATTTTTTCAATGATCCGTAGCTTATAACAGTTGATTTTTTTTATTTAGTTGTACAGTGGGTCACTGGACAAGGTATAAATAAGTCTTCATTATCTAGATCAGTGGTTCTTAACCTTTGTTACTCGGATGTTTTTGAACTGCAACTCCCAGAAACCCCAACCAGCACAGTTGGTGGTGAAGGCTTCTGGGAGTTGCAGTCCAAAAACTCCTGAGTAACCCAAGGTTAAGAACCAGTGATCTAGATTAGTGTGACACTAGGTCTTTTCAGGCATTTTCTATTACAGTATTTTATCCATGTAAAGAGGCAAGCTCTAGCAGCTCTCTCTGTTCTGTTCTAGCCCATTTTCTACACTTGGTTATGGGGACAATGAATTTGAATGGAGAGAGCGCTGCTATCTACAGATCACACTTTCTGTGTGATTTGGGAACCTGACGTCCTGATTGTGCGGAGAAACGTCATGGATAGTGAGGCTCTCCTCCTTGAGACTCATCAGCCTCCATGTGTAGAGTAGTGATGGAGGGTTGGAGCTAGAGTGTTATTTACACTGGTCATATTTGTATAGATAATACCTGAGTAAAACTATTGCAGGTGTTAAGAAATTCTCCCATGCACTGGTGTCAGCTCATCTTGAACAATGAATGCCCCAAAACAGGGCCAGGAAAGTTGTGGACCTGATCTTTTAGGTATTTTTAGACTACAGCTCCCATCCAGTGGTACCTAGATAGTGAGATGTGATGGGAATTATTGTTCAGCATCTGGGAGGCCACGTTACTTAAAGAAAGGATAGAATAGCATGTTTACTTCTCTATGTAAAGTGTTGAATCATAAGTAGTACCTTCTTTTGAGGAGCAAGAAGTATGGCAGAAACAACCAAATGAAGCTCAGTTTTGTTTTGAACTCTGGATAGTTGGTTGGTTGGTTTCTGCAGGGTGATGGGATTTTTTTTATTTTTGGCAGGCATCTTCTACAAATAGAGAAAAGCAATGCTGTATAACCTTTAGTTAATTATGATGGGAACAACTGAGGCCTGGATATTCTTTAACAGCCATTTTATACAAATCACCTGCTATACTTCTGAAATGGAATAACTAATTTTATGCTTTCCTCAATTCAGCTCAGACATCCAACTTGGAGAAAATTCATCTGGATGAGAAGTCATTCCGCTGGCTCCACAATGAAGACCAAATGGCTGTGGAGAAATTGTCTGATGGAATCAGAAAGTTTGCTGCTGACGCTGTTAAGCTGGAACAGATGATAAAGGTAACAAAAAAAGTTTTCCATTTTCATAGTAATGTGTCTCTGGTCCCTTATAGTGCATATTAGCATGTGATGCTGCTTTTCTTGGGACATTAGGTCATATTACAAAGGCTTACTTGCCTTTGTTGTATTTATTCTTGTATACCAGTGCTTAATATAGATAGAAAAATAATTTGACAGCAGATACCATGTGCAAGTAATCGGTGAGCACTTTTTAGGGAAGGTTGAAGGTTTAACTATATCAGTTTCAGCACATGTGTAGGGAAAAGCTGTAAGTAGTGTGGTTCAGATGATTGGAAATGTTTCCCTAGATCTTAAAAAACCTTTCAATAGTTACATTTCATGAAGTTTTTAAATTGCAGCAGTGCTACATCTAGAAACTGGTTATTTTTCAAATACAGTGGGGTCTTGACTTAAGAACGGCTTGAGTTAAGAACATTTTGACTTAAGAACCACTCTCACAGGAAAATATTGACTTGACTTACATACTTAGATTTGAGTTAAGAACTGAAAAAAAACCACGTGGGAGGCAGGGAAAGTGCAAAATTTGAACTTTCAGTTAACTGCTGGGCAGTGAAAAGGGTGCCTGTCTGCTTCCTCACTCCTCCCAGCGTTTAGAGAGTGGATTGGGAGACAGTCTTCCGACTGCCTTGTACTGTACTGCCTGGACTGTATTTTCCCTGCCTTCCCTGAACCTTTCTTGACCTAAGAAAAAAAGAAACAAAATATCCCCCTCTAGTGGTCGAAGGCAGAATAGCAGCTTCCCATTAGTTTCTATGGACGGAAAAGAGCAGATACGGATCAAATGGTTTTCAATGCATTCCTATGGGAAATGCAGATTTGACCTGAGAACTTTTTGACTTGAGAACCGCCTTCCAATACGGATTAAGTTCTCAAGTCAAGACCCCACTGTAACTGAAAACTTTGCACCATGTTTAGGCCGCTAGATCTCTGTGAACTAAAAACTGGGATATACATTTGAAATATTGTTCTGTGTAGTATTAGAACTCAAGGAACCTTCAACACTAAGTTTATTGAAACAGTATATTTTGAGTCTTTATGTGCTCTTACAAGGTGCTTAATTTGAAACAAATAATAATTACTTTTACAACTGACAAATGCCGAACTCTATTCTGGAGCTGACTACAAAGTTACTGTTCTAGAACTATTAACAAACTTAGTAAAGGTCTGTATTTTCTCCTTCTTTTAGGATCGCATGTTCAGTGCTGCAAATGGAAATTAGGCATGCCAAGCTTCTTGGATAACATACTGATGTAAAAATGCCTACATGCTGCATAAGAAAAAAATTCTGTATTCTAGGCTTTTTATATGAATCTGCAAAGAGTGAAGAGATTCTGAGTTTGTGGCATTTTAAAATATTAACATTGATATTATTATGGGAATACAGTGGCTAGGAATTATATAATTCTTTTCCACCAAGATTGTAAATTGCCAATAATTAAAGGACCAATTGTTGTGGAAGCGGTTTTGTTTAAAATATTAGTAATAAATACCCTGTATAACATTGTTTTGTTATTTGTACTGCCATGAAGAATTTTGGAAATTAAACAGCTCAATCCCTTATATTTTGCTGTAACATACTTTGCTGTAACATACTTGTAGTGAAATAGGTTTGACATTGCATTGAGACAGTCATCAAAATTTGTAAACAGATTCATTCGAATCTGTTTTATCAAAGAGACTTATTTGACCCTGCTGCTAGCACACCATTTTACCACGCCTCCCCTCTGCTTGTGACATCACCCTAACTACTTATTAATCTTATGGGAGCAGATTCCATTGAGAAATACAACAAGATCCCTGCTGTTCACATAGCTTTAGCAGTTCAGTAGGACTACCTTGTGAGGTCCCTTTTCTCTCCAACCTATCATTTACCACCACCCCCAAAAAACATCATTCAGATAAGATTATTAATTACCTCCATTTTACGCATCTGTCGAAGAAAAACAGTACAACTATACAAAGAAGTGTCTCAGTTTCCACCATTATTAATCTTGAATACAGTTAATGTATCAGTAAGAAACCTTTATCTTGCCAAATATTTTATAAAAGCAAATCAGATAATTACATAGCAAAAGTATGCATAGTGTAGTGCATTCACTTTGTTCATCTCTGGGGAAAGGATACACAAAGTTTGTTTGATAAAAGATGAAGTAAAATTGGTCCAACAGCTGCTACAATTCTTAGAAACAGACTAATTACAATGGAACAATGACCAGTCACATGCAATAGATTAGATATCTTTTAAACAACATATTTAAACCATTAACCCAGCCAACCTCACAGTTACGTTTTCAACTGTTTGGTTTCCTTTAAAAGAAAATCAGTTTGCATGATTTCTCAGTAATTTCACACTTCATTGGACTGAAGCTTACATAGATTTCCAAGTAAATTCAGTTCTGCACTAATTACAAAGTTTGAAATTCAGTTGAACGATATGAAAATAGCATGGAATCAAATGATTTCATAGGCTTGTTTTCTTGATATGTTAGATTACTGCATGTATAATTGATTGTCATAAATATGAATTTGAAAGGCCTAGTTTAGGTGCAATTAACCTAGTTAACCGTGGTTTATACTAAGGATGAGTATAAAGTAGATCATTTTGAGTCATGGGTAATAGATCTACAAGCATGTCTCACTCCTACTTATATTAACACTACAGCCACATAATCTCTTTTCACTCTAAATTATAGTGACGTAAAAAAACACAGGGTGATTGTGAGTGTTCCTTTATGTACTGCAATAAGACTCAGCTGCGTTTTATTTGTGCTCTGATTTACTTAATTCTTGCACTGGGCTTTAGCTGGCGGATGATGGTATTCCAAGTAGACTCAGTATAGATTGTGCAAGCTTTAGATCTGCACAACACTGGTTTAAACAAGTTTGGATTTTAGAGGAACTTTTGATTAATTTGAAAGCTTCTGCTTTCACTTTCTATTGAGGGATAGTGGGGCATTAAAGTAAAATTCAGGCCTGAGCAGGCTTGCTGACAATCATTGTTTCCTCTCTTGACTTAATCAGACTTTAGGATCTAGAAAAGTGAGTGTAGTTTTTTAAACTATGGAAAAACATTAAGGTTATATTGTTTCAAGTTTCAACAGTTCACAATGCTCTTCACAAGACTTAGAATCCCATCTCTAAAGAATCCTGGTTTTCTCTTCCACAAGTTGACAGGATATTCACAGGTTCACACATGAACATTCAGGTGTCACCCAAGCTGAAGACGTTTTCAGTATTCATCTCATTATTAGACTTCATTTTCTGCTGAGTGAAACATGATGTGAAATAGGTCACTTTAACCAGGAGCTTACATCAATATATGTATTTTTTCCTTAATAATAGATATCATAACCTGCTGAAAAAAACCCTAATAGTAATATAACTGCCATCAAATCAATTCTGACTTATGTTAATCCTTCCCAAGACTTTCTGGGTAAAGAAAACACAGAAGTGGTTTACTATTTCCTTTTGTGGGCACTTTGGGATTATGTAGCTCGCCCATGAATACACAGGCTGGCTCTTCTCCCAGGAGGCACACTATCCTGATTCTGCTGTGTTTTTACACATGCATGGGTGCAAATATGGAAACTGCACAGGCCTACTGAAACTAATTATTGAGTTGTCCCACAATCAGACATCCAAACAGCACCACGTTGAGTGGCTTCAACTAACTGCTGCAACTTATGGACAATTTAAAAAATCCAAACAGGATTCTGACCTTAGTATTTAATTCTTTCATAAAATATAACTGCAACAAGCACTGACATTCATTTGGGGTGGTTTTACTAAATATCTAAGAAACTGAAGGAACATGCCTGCATAGATATCAAATCCAAGATTCGTTATTACCCATTTTATTGGCAATTTCCCCCATATTTTCTGACCTGCCATTGCAGAGAAAAATAAGATTCTGTACAGCTGCAAGTGTAGAATTTTCATTCTGTCCCGTAACAAGGTGTCTGTCCAGCACCACATGTATTGCATCTGCTTTACTGGCTGCATTAGAAGAAAAATACATATGCATGTCTTAACTTGATTACATGGTAGGATCCTCCCTGTCATGCTTAATACCTACAAGAAACTACACACCATTTTGTTGCTATTCCTTTTCAGTGATTTAAGACTGAAAAAATTTACATGCTTTGCCTAACTATTTTCAAAGTATTTACAGTATTATTATTCTTGACAACTTATAAAATCCATTAAGTATTACAGTAACACATTAATAACATATGTGACGACTCAGACCTGGATCAGGGTAGACCACTGGCCTTCTAGATTCTTTTGGACTGGAACTCATTATCCCTATCTATAACCAATAGTGAGATAAGCCAGAATCAATCCAGTAAATCTGGGGTGGGGGGACTCTTCTCTACTTTAGATTATGCCAGCTGAGTGAGTTCACATGCTAACATTTCCTTTCAGGAGCAAGAGAAACAGAGTTAGCAATTTCTACTTATATTTAATATTCTCTTATTAGCTTAGAAGGAGAGAGAAAGTGTTGGATCTAAGATTTGTCACAGATCTTCTGCTTTCATTTAAACTAAGATTCTAAACCAAGGTTTACTCTTACATAATCTGAACCAGAGCACAGCCTGTCCAAGCACAAAGAAGGGCTTTATATTCAGTGTTAATAGGTCTTCCTGGGTAATATTTTGTGACTCAAGATACAAAACTTTGAACACTAACTCATAGTTTAATAACTAATCTTTTAAAATATGACCCAATTCATTGCTGTGTGTGTGTGAAATTAGTTTATCACAAATTCCACAATGAATGTGTGTGTGTTCATATTTGCCTCTTGTAACACAAAAACCCACTAATAATGCAAGAACCACAGCAGTTCATCTTCATTAGATTCTGAATACCACAGATTACTTCTAGAACAGCCAGAGGTAACTTGATTAGAATGATGGCCTACTCAGGAAAAGTATTCAGGAAAAGTCAGCCGGGATCTATTCCATTAGTTTGAGAGAGACAGCACTGTGGAAAGCTGGACAAATATGGCCTCCACAGTGCTGCATGTTTTACCACAGACTGACAGGTGGATCTAAGACCATATTAAAACATACTGGTAATCTTTACTGCTAACAGGCCTCTTAATGGGTGGTGGTGTCAAGTAGAATGTTTTGCAATTAGGTTTCTGTTTAGGTAACCTATCATTTGATTTGGTTTAAACAAATTATGTCCCCTCCAATTCCTTAGGTGAATAAAATGGTCATTAACGGGTTGGTGAATGAAACCAAAAAGGCACACAGAACCCTATATTGTATTATGTAAACCTTGACATTCAATAATTTCTGTTTTTTGGTGTGTGTGTTTTTAAATTAGAGGTTCCTCATTATCAGAGGCTGTGCCTACACTACAACGTAGCTTTTGTGTAAATCTCATGTGATGGATCCATGGTTTTGGCAGACAGTTCCACAGGATCTACAAAATTATTTTTTTATCCCTGTGCAGCATTTTAAACACCAGAGATTAAGGAAATTTATCTTACAATACTTTTTGGGCCCCACAACGTCTTATGGTTTATTTTAAAATACTACAGCCTATACATGTCTTTGTGGTTTTGCTCATGCATTTCTTTTACTAAATGTGGATTAAAAAAATCAATGGCAACAATGTGTGTCAAAAGAACATACCACTAAAAGACGCTCCTGAATCTTTTGCGAAGTCCTCAACAATGATGGGTAAACTAGCAAAACTAGTTAACCTTATCAGTTCATATACAGAAGGCTGGAAGAGATAAGAGAAAAACATTTAACTAGTTTTGCAACAAAATATTGCTAAATCTCTATAGGAAGATTATTACACAAGGTGTATCTCATCCCTGTGGGTTATTTGGATTATTTAATAAAGAACAGAGGACTAGGTGGACCTTGCTCTGATGAAAATGACAATTCCTAACCAGGAATACATAGTCAGGATGGCTTCATAAATGATGAATTATACCTTAACTATTAAAAGATACCAGCAAACATAGTACTGTAGGAAAAACCATAAGAATATGCAATTCTAAAGTGACCCCATCCCCTTCAAAGGTCCTTAATTCTTCTGAGACTTGACAATAAAACAGTACTGAGTAAAATTTTCATTTCAATTTCAATAGGTTCCCCAACAACTGCCAATTAAAACAGCACAACAGTTATAGTTTACATCTAACTTTCCTAGCAAAATCCATCTTGCCATGAAATTTTGGGCTTTAAATTCTTCACATCTGATGAAGGTCCTGCTCCACAAAAGCTAGCAAATTGTATGATGATTTTTTAAGGGTCTAAAAGAGTTGCCTGTTCTTCGATTTGTATTTTGTAATGACCATACGGCTCCCTTTCATTTTAGTTTGCTCATAATGACTATATCACAATTTTATTGGGATTATTTCTCAAAACAACCTTGTTACTCTTGTGGCTAATAAAGCAGGAACTAAAAAAAAAGGTAATAGACACATCTGTCACTTGGCATTTGTTACCTTGAATTTAATGCCACGTATGTGCCAAATCTCACAAAAACCAAGTGGAGAAGTAGCTTGAGGCAGATCTATGACTATAATCTAGGAAATGCAACAATTCATAAATTATTGGTGCAAGCTATTATCAGAGAGGTCTCTGCATAATAAATTATCTTTCTTTATAATGCTATGCATGAAAAAGACACTGCTTAAACATATTACATCTTCTTACCCCTGTTAGGCTGTATTCTTGGAATACCCAGGATTTATCCTCATTTGTCGCACAACACAAGGCAGCAACTCCATGTCCAATAGCACAAATAGGCTCTACAAAGAGAAACGACTGTAATATAATGTAAAAATGCAATGTAAAAATCCCTGTGTGTAATACCTAGAAAAATTACAGTGGATTTTCCTTCAAGACTTGTAGTTATTCTACATAATATTATTCTAACTTACTGCAAATATGCCTGAAATTTATGTAGGGCATTCAAACATTAATAAGGAATGCTAATAAGCTTAACTCAGAATTACTGACACCTCATTGTCAGCATTGGTTACCTGGGGGAAAGGAGCTGAGTAAGAAAATGTCACAGGAACTATAGAGTTGGTATTTGCAGCAGAAGCAGTGTATATTGGAATCCAAACAATTATATATCATACATTGTCTGCATGAAATCATATATTAACTGAACGAGAATTTGCTGGCCATATTCTCAAGAGTTCTTTGGCATTCTTGGACTTTCACTCTAGCTGGAAATAGAGACATGTCTCACTTATAGCACTTTTTGCATGCTTCCAATCTTAGAATGTAGAAAATGTATGGAGCAAAAGCTCCAAGGAAGTTTACCTACTATTCTCAGAGCTGAAATGCTGTAGTATTCTAGCCAAATAACCACTGTTTGCCAGATCTGTCACAGCACCAGGGCAGTCAGGAATCAAGAGAGCATGGTATCTGGCACCTATACAGAAAGGACAAGCAAAGCACAACTTTTTGTTATGATATGTTTAAGTTCTATTCATTTGAAAACTAGGTAAAGACCCTAAAGGTTCAGAAGATGTACAGAGATGACTTTCTCCTAAGGTATTTCCTGCCATTTGCTCCCCTAGTTTTCAGTGACAGTGCACTGATGTGCATGGATTTTATCCTGTCTCATTTAACAATGGGTTTTGACAACTGTCCATTCTACTTATGTTGAAATGTAGAGTCCCAGTGCTCTGAGCAAAATTTGTTTATCCCCCTGTGCTCCTTCACTTTAAATTCCTAACAATCTGACTCTTGTAAGGGAAGTGTGGAGGATGTGAAAACGTCTTTAGCTTTCCCTTGTTCTTTTACCCATAAAGAGCACTGCCACATTTGGAACAAGGGATGGAGTGAAGCCATACCCCATTACCAAGGCCAATTACAACCTCCAGGACTTGACAAGATAAAGGAAAGCTTTAGAAACACAATCCTGGGACTGATATCAGAAAGTCAGTGCTCTCTTCCCCCATTATGCCCAGTCAGCACCACCAAATGTTAGACTTCGTAATCCACAGCAGCACAGTCTGCAAGTGTAGATAGCTGCCATTCCACAATGTGGGGAAACTAATGGCAATGTAGGATTACATGGGGTGAGAGAGTGATCTCATTGTTTTGTAAGCTAAAAACATTGGCATCTTTCCCTCTCTCACAGATAACATACATATTAAGTTGCAAGGGGAAAAATTATCTTACCATCAGTTGATTCTAGCTTGGCAGGATTTGCATAGGACTTCATACGGAAGTCCTGGATCCAACGCATGTTTGCCTCAGTAATCCCAGTGAAATCAATTGACTTTCCCTTAAAGAATCATAGTTTAAGACTCAATGAAAACAAGTATGTCAGATAACACTTCTGAGTACAACAGTCAAGTTAAATGCAAAATTTTCTGTATAGTCAAGATTTTATGAGAGGCTATTACTGTAAGCTATAATATAACAACAACATTTTCGTGTTGTAGAAGAGAAGAGGCCAGGCTTTTCATACCTAGAAAGCCCTGAAAAAAGAATCGCCATGAGTCAGAACTGACTTGATGGCATATAATTATTATTATTATTTAAATTTTGAGACATAATTATACAAAACAGTACCACAGCTTAAGCTTATATATAACACAAGTTATATGTATAAAATTAGTTTTCTTTTTGATTTTTTTAATGTTTCTATTCAAAGCAAGAAATCTAGAATCATTCTGCTGATGGAAGGCCTCTGCTCAATCAATTTTCAGAGCATCCTGGCATATAATAATTATTATTATTATTTAAATTTTGAGACATAATTATACAAAACAGTACCACAGCTTAAGCTTATTTGTGTTTACCCCAAACACAAGTTATATGTATAAAATTAGTTTTCTTTTTGATTTTTTTAATGTTTCTATTCAAAGCAAGAAATCTAGAATCATTCTGCTGATGGAAGGCCTCTGCTCAATCAATTTTCAGAGCATCCCCTCTTCCCTTCCTTCACACCACAACTTATTCTAGTCATCCCCAACCTTCACTGTAGCATTTTTAGGGGGATGGATGGGCAAATAACTCCTATCAGCTCAGCTGTAGATGTGTAATTCTAGATTCATCCCATTATATCTGTATTGTTTTCTAAAGTAAGAATCTGCATGCGTCATGGAGAGACAACAGAACATGATAGAAGAGGATTCCCCAGAATAACAGGGGGAGACTGAACATGACTTCCTACTATCCAACAAAAAGGAGTGGGTGATGAATGTGCATGCAACAGCAGAAGACAGTGGACTGTTTTGAGGTCCATTTTAAGGGCCTCTGAGTTCTGACAAGGAAGAGGACTGCTTCTTCTCCGACTGGAAAGCCTTCATGCATGGTTCTCAAAAAAATCCTTTCTCCCCTTCTTCCAAAGAAAGGCTGGTAAAGTGGAGGGAGGCAGGATTTGAACTTGCATGGCCTCCAGCTCAACTTTTCCAGAGCTGAAGTCCCCTACAAACACACAATTATCTCCTTCAGGAAAGGAATATACTCATGAAAATACACAGCCCTCCACTTATTCTATATATGCCTTAATACAACAGTTTCAACCATTGTGACCCACTCCACAATCAACATTAATAGCTCTTACTTACCCCTGGGGTAGCAACCTGTAGATTGAAGGCAGAGCTTGCCAGTGTAAATGAGTGAAAGAAGGAATCAGCAGAGACACCTGGTGAAGAAAAATAAAACTTTCTGTGTGGGAGACTTTTGAAGGGAACATTTTCATAACACCCTTTGATTTTTCCTGGTAGTTATTTTACTCTGGCAAGGAGCATTTCATAATATACAATTTATACTGACAATTAAAAAAATAAAAACAAAGGCTACAAGTTGTTTCCAAACATAGATGAAAACTAGGCATAACATAAGGACTACAATCAGTAACAACTTGAATTTAAAACTACGGAAATAGAATTGCATCAAACATCTTTTATAAGAAGAAGAGGGATATATATTACAGGGGGGGGGGACCCACCTTCTGAGGTTATCAAAGGAACTGAGAGGCATACAAGTACCAGTTGGGTGAATTAATTATCAGCTGGAACAAGCATAAAGCGCCTTCCAATTCCACAGGTACAGAGAAAGAATTTTAAATTCGTATTATTAGCCAGGACAAGCAATCAAGAGTATCCCAAACGTTGACTTTTCCAGCATACCGATAGGTATGACCGGCGGCGCTGGTCCCTCCCCTCTGGCGCCTGGCGGGCTTTCTGGGCAAGGGCTGGAGCTGCCCCTTTCTTTCCAGTCGGGGCGCCTGTGCCTTTTGCGAGAGAGAGGGAGGGAGGGAGACAGGGAGGGGAGCGACGAAGCCCCGCCGCTGACAGAGACACGCCGCCCCGGGGAAAGCCCTTTCCCCGGGAACGCCGGTTCGCACCCACCTACTTTCCCCGGAAGCCTGGAGTTCGCCTCAGCCCGCCCTGGTCCGAAGGCGCCCGCATCCGCGTCAAAGCAAGGCAAGGCACGGGGAGAGAAGCGAAGAACTGAGAAGGCCGGACCCGGGAAGGGTGTGTGTGTGTGTGTGTTTCGGAATGGATGGCCGGGAAGGAGCTGCCTGGAGAGGATGGATGGATGGATGGCCAAGCAAGGAGGGAAGGGGGGACGCCCTGCTGGCTGGCTGGCTGGCTGCCCTCACCTGCAGTCGCCGCACTGGCCACCATGAGGCACGTCGGTTTAGCGAGCCTCTCCGACATGGCCGCGGAGGGGGCCCCCGTGACAGAGGAAGCCGGCGGGTATCTTTTCATGCGCTTCTGGGGCTGCCCGGAAACGAGGTCTCCCGCCGCGCCTAGAGGGCAACGCCTCGCTCCGCCCAGGTCGCTGAGAGGCCGCGCTGACACTGCGCAGGCTCAACGCGCGCGCACCCGCCCTCCTTTCCCCCCCCCCATGGCAACTGTAGCCCGGCGACCAGAGGCGCCCCGAGCTTCCCGTTTCCGGGGCGCTTTCGCTGCTTTCTCTCCCGGATGGCCTGAGAGTCTTGCAGGAGTTGCTGCTGCTGCTGAAAAGGGGGCGTGAGGAACCTGTGGCCTTCCACGTGGTGCTGCATTATAGTTCCCATCAGCCCCACAGCCACCGTAACGAATCGTTTGTGGACGATTTTTTTTTCATGTTGTAACAATTTGGCTTGTAATGTTATTGCTTTGAAATACCGTGTAAGCCTCTTTCGATCCTTCGGGAGAATGGGAGCAAGCAAGCAAGCAAAAAACAAAAACCCAAGCAAACAAATACTGTAAATGCGCCTTGTAAATACACACAAAAGAGAAATAGAAGGTTAACGTCATAAAAAGCAAAAGGATAAACACAAGCGGAGACAATGTCAGTAAAAACAATTTGGGCAACAGAAGCATGAAAAATGATAATAAGCACTGAAATAGTTTACAAGACTGATTTGTAGCGGTAAGTCTTTAGGACGCCCTTCCTAAAAGCCATAGAGGTGGGAAGTCATCAGAATTCTGTTCCTGTTCAGTTCTCATTCATAACTGGGAAGAGGGGAGTATCCTGTACTGTACTGTGTGAAAAGGCCTGTGAAAAGAGCACAGACTAACAATTTTAAATCAAGGCATTGGTTTTGTCCAAGGTTTTGCTTTCAAACAAAGAAAAACATATCCAGATATATGATCATGGACTATGCCCTTATTCCATGTATTGAAGTATGGTATGTTATCACCATTGGACAGCAATGTGAGTGAGGTTTACAAAGTGAGGACACCTCCTATAGCTCCAAATTTGTCTCTTGTAAGGAAACTGAATAGTCTACACCTGTAGGCAGATACACATGTAGAAACAAGTCTTCATACAGGGCAGATAGTAATTGGCTAGGGATGTTGCCATACCAACAATTCCTGAGAGTGGGAAAGCATAATTAGAAACTGTGTTTTCTGTATCACTGAGTCTGGCCACAGGACACAGAGATGGAGGGGGCTAGCCCTTCAGCATTGCTGTAGCCTTTTCCACGCGTTCTTCAAGGTGGAGACAGGGAACAGTTTTGTGACACCGCCTCCCTGAAATACACCTAGTTTTATGAGACGGTAACCTGCTTCAGACTACAAATAGGAACATATGTGATGGAACTTCCCTCTCACACAAAATATCTTGCATATAAAAGACATTATGCCAGGAGTAAGGTTGGATTAAACCCTTCCATCCTAGGCTGTAGTTTGCTGTAGACTGGGGATGTTTCCTTGAAAGGAAAAACATTCAATCCATTGAGCTGCCCCATCTGCAGCCTGAAGACAACCAAGAAACCAATTTACATCCTCAACTGCTGATTGTGAACAGGAGGCTTAACAAGCGATGGCAACCACTTCATAGCTGTCAGCAGTTTCTGTAATAGGATGGCCACCTACCTATCACCAATGGAAAAGCAAAAGATGACAGTGATCTGCATAATATTGTATTTGCTAGCATACAATGTGCAGATGAAAATGAGGGGGGGATTATACTTTACAGTACCTGTAATCCGATTGAAGAAGGTGGCATGGTGGCAGCTCAAGTACCTAGTAAATCTGCTGTCCAGATGCTCATATTTATGGAAGGACAACTTCATGGTCCCTGATCTCCCTCTTTATGGAGATTTATTTTTAAATCAGACTTGGAGTGGGCAACCCTTCATATAGAGGACCTCTTAAGATAATGTCCTGTGGCAAAAATTCAAGCAGAGGACTGTCCTCCCTAACAGGATATATATGTGGTCATCCTGTTCGAAAACCCAACATCAATAAGAGATCTTGTTCTAAAACATGTCATCTTGTATAGCAGAGATGGGGAATCTGTCCTTCTGGATTTTCTGGAATACATTTTCCATTATCTTTTACCATTGGCTGTGTTGGCTAGGGCTTTGGAAAGTTGACACTGAAAACATTTGAAGGGCCAACCACCAGTTTTTTACTTCTGCCATATAGAGGAATAGTGCTGGGAAGTTGGGGGTATCCTTCAAGGAAGAAGGACCAGCAGGTGACCATGAGGCAGCTGCAGAACAAAGGCCATAGAAGCAAGGCTTGAATGATTAACACTGCAGATGGAGCTTTTGTTTCAGGAAGGACATGCATGCCTAAACACCCATCCCTTGGCAAGGATCCAGCACTACCAACCAAGCAAAGCATACAGCCATTGTGTGGGGGTAGGACAGGGAGAGGGGTAACAGGGATAGGGAGAAACTGGAAAATAGTGGACTGAAGAATCCCCAAAAGAAACATTATTATTATTATTATTGTTTATTTATTGTATTTATACCCCGCCTATCTAGTCATTTCGACCACTCTAGGCGGCTTACAACATAAAACATAACATGGAAGAGATATATGTGCAATATGGCAAGATATTTCTGCATAAGGGTCAGCATAGAACCAGAAGATTGTTCCAGTAAGACACTTCCTTCCAATTTCCTTGTGACATCTACATGTTAATCAACACAAATCTTCTCACCATATTTTCTCCAGTTGGGAGAAAAGCAAGTAAAGGAACATTCTGAGCAAACTAATGTCGTGGGAAAGGAGTACTGTATGATTATCAGATCTGATTTGGCTCAAGGTGCTATATACCACCCAAGCTGAAGCCTGAACTCTTTCAAAGAAATAAAAATGACTATACTAATGCTATCATACTTTGGGCATGCCATGATAAGATACTGTGGAAGAACAATTATGCTGGGAAAAACTGGCAGCAGTAGGAAAAGAGGAAGACCATATGGATTGACTCCATTAGAGAAGGTACAGCCCTGAGTTTGTAAAACCTGACCAGGATTGTTCTAATTGGAACTGGGTGGGTGGGTGTATCACTAATTCATAGGGTTGCCATAAGCTGGGAGTGATCTGATGACAAATAAAAGCAACTCAAATCTATGAGGCTGGGTCTCATATTTTTATGCTGGAAATCCCACAATGAGAGAAATCAGAAATGGAATTATTAGATTGTGCTATGCATGTAGCTTTATTTAGTCTGAGATATGTTTACATGTCATATAGTGAATGCTGAATACAGTTCTCTGGAACTGTGTCCAGCATTCTCTGGAACTTAGATGGAGGTAAGTCCCTCTATGTTCATTTGGTTTTCTTTCCAAATCCCTTTCCCACCCATAAATTTACATAATGATTCATGGGACATCAGAGTTCAGCTGATTTCCTTCTAAAAATTACATTTTTGTCTCCCTCTCTAATAATACTGTAATAGGATCCAGGATGATCCAAATAAGCTGCTTTGGTAGGGGATTCAGGACAGACAAACCCATAGTTAAACTGTGGAATTTGCTTCATGCAGCACATGGATAACTGTGGAATTCCGTGCAACAAAATGTGGTGGCAGTCACCAACTCTGGTGGCTTTTAAAGTGGATGAATTGAATTCATGGAGGATAAAGTTTTCAATAGCTTGTAGTACACTGTTTGAAGCATCAGAGCCAGCATGCCCCTGAATACCAGTCACTGGAACAAGGTCAGGAGGGTGTAATTGTCCTAATGCTCAGCCATCTTTCCATGGGCATCTGGTTGGCTAAGGTGGGAGAAAAGAATCCAATGGTAAATTTACCCGCATTAGGAAAAATGTTCTTCCATTCTTACATAGTTGTGACTTAGTAGTTCCCATGGCAGGTGACATACAAGCGTTCTGTTATTTCCCAGTGCTGTACTGCAGCTGCAATAGAATTTTAGAACTCTGCGGTCTCTCTCTTTTTAGCTGTTTTAGGTATGTGGCTCTGACTAAATCTAGCTGGTGTCCTCTTTTCTTGCATCTCATTGTACAGCATCTAATGATTACTGATTTGATACATAATGAAATTAGGCCGAGGGATTTGGAGGCAATTAGAGTATAATTAAGAATACTTTGAAGTTTCACATTAGACAGACATAACATACTTGATTATTAAAAAGCAACATGTGTGGCATCAAGGAACTTTCTGATTAATAGCTGATCTAACATCTAAGAATGTATATGTGGCAGTAAACTGACCTGTTGACTTTTTAGTGGCTTGTTTTCAGATTCAAAGACACAGGAAAATTATTAGAGCTAGTTTAAGGGGGGGGGGAAATCCTCTTGTCTACTTAGCATCCTTTTTTCTGGATCAACCAGAATATGAAATATAAATCAGTCTATAATAGGATTAATGTATTTTAAAGTATCACTCATTAACTCACCCCATTCCAAAACCCAGTTGCTAGGATATTAGAATTCTGGAATTAATTATGTCATAGATCGTGGTATTCCCCATCCACAGGATTCCAACAGTATAACATTCTATGGCATAAGTCTGATTTGTTCTGGAAATTATCTGTACTTGTCAGTTTGATCCACATAAGCATTTCAGTTTCTCTAAGGTTGCACTATAGGTTAGTAGCATTGAGTAAGAGCTATCTGGCAGTGTCAAAGGGAATGTAAAGAATATTTGTTCATGGCTGTTTTCCCCCATCTCCGTTTATAAACATTGTACCTTTCTAGAACCCACTGGATGCTCTGTAATGTCCTACTGCCATTTGGCAAGTGCAGTTGTTCCTTGTAACCTGCTTTCACAAAGGTCTTGATCATTGCAAAAGCTGATCCCAAATGTATTGTTTTCTTTCTCTCCATGTGGTGAGTGGAATAGTGAAAAGGTCAGTAAGAACCCTCAATCTCTGGATTTCAGAATTAACACTAGTATGATACTCACTTGCAATGCTCACTCCAGAAGCTGTCCAAAAATGCAATCTAGTTAATTGTGCAATCACATGCTTAAATCTGAAGGTTTGAAAAGAGAAGGAAATCTGTTTGAAAATCAATCAGGAGAAGTAGTCTTTAGGAGACGTCGAGATTTTTAGGAGAACTCTGTCTAGAGAGCTTAGTGTCAGAAAGATTAAAAGTCTG